TTTTTTTTCTTTTTTCAGAACCAGGGATTGAACTCAGACCCTGGCACTTGCCAGGGAAGTGCTTATTCTACTGAGCCATCTCCCTGCCCCCGCTTTGTTCTATCTTATTTTCATCTGCCTCAGGCAGGTTACCAAACATATGCCTCAATTCTGCCTCAAGGGCTTCTCAGAAATGCCACACAAAATCTCTGTCCATGGCCATTTAATTTTGCAACTCTTGTGTTTATCTCTTCACTGTATTCCGCTTTAGGGAAGCCAGGACCCTGATTCAAGATCAGAAGAGGAAACTGTTCCTGTTAAGACAGAAGTTACGGCATGGGAGAGAAGTGTTCTTTCGTCTTAGTGACCTTCTCAGTGACCTTCTCACATTGGATGACGCTGAATGTGACCAGGAGCAGGGCCTCCAAGACGAGCTTATTGAGGCATGCAGACTGGTCGAGCGCTTTTTTTACAAGCTCAGTCCTGGTGAGTTGACCCCAGGCTCTAATTTTACTGGGTTGCCCCAAGGCCCCCATCTCTTGGGACTCGACACTCAGAGTAACTTTCTGAAAGTAGTTTGGATGTCATATTTAGAGGCAAAATCACAGCTACCTGAGTGGGACCCTCAGAGACAGATTCAGAAGGTGGAGGTCTTAGAGGTCCAACTGTGTCCTTTGCCCCTGTGGGTAAGGTGGCAGCTCCATCTGGTGTAAAAGCAGAGAAGTCAGAGGTGGCGGGAGGAAGTTTCTTAGAAAACTGCCTCGACTAAGAAGAAAATTTTCCCCACTCTTCAGTTAAATGCTTTGTTACTGTGAATAATTAGCCTTTTTTTTTTTCTGAATTTGTATCTCTATGGCCTATAATAAATGTACAATACAGTATGTGTACCTGTCCTGTGTGGGAATGGCATAGTTATGAAAGCACACAGTGGTTGTTCTGGTGCTTGATGCAGTAGCAGTGCAGCAGACGTCTCCACCCCACCCTCAGCCAGTATGCTTCAGTCTGTTTGTCGCCTAGATAATAGTTCCGGTTATAGTTCCTGTTACTTTTGTTTCTTAGAAATGGCTGGTCACTGTGATGTGTAGCTGGTCACTGTGATGCATATTATGAGAACCAACCCCAACTGACAAGCCCACCTGCCTCTGGATTTTCTACTTGCTTATCCTATATAAGCTCTAGACCAGCAGAGATCAGGGCGTGATGTTCTGGAAATGATCTCAATCAGTGCATGTCGACATAAATAAATCTGCCTCCAAATCCTGGAGGAGTCATTTTGGTGTTTCTGCTTTTTTTTTTTTTTTTAAATTTTATTTATT